CCGAATGATTATAATTTTACAGGGAAAGGAGTACCGGCGGCTGAACTCATAGTGAGTGTTTCTCTTCCAAAGTGAATGCGGTCTCTTTGTTGTCCTTGTTGTCGCTGTTAACTTTACTGTAAAGATCATGTGAGGACACATATATTTACTGAGAGCTGGACCTGGTTACTGGCACTGGCAGAGCGAGAGAACCTTCCCAGACTAATATCCCGCTTGATATGATCCAGAATCTGGTTGACAAAATAAAGGGTCAAGATGCTGACCTGAAAGACGAAAAAGCTTTCAACTCCATCACTCAGACACAAAGCCAATACAGACTCACTTGGTCTTGCAGGGTATAGACGCCAACAAAGCGGGAGCGACGAGTACTCCGAGACCAGCAGCACTTAGTAACCATAGTAAAGACGGTAAATGAGTGTGTACGTACAGTAAATAAGTAGGTGATTCTAGTGGTTAGAATGAGCGTTCGAGTAACTAAGGGCCCTATTAGATATTCACTGGCGTTGTAACTACACAACTACACGTAGTATTGTTGTACTCGTTTGTACTTATACGGTTCAATAGCCTCCTCAATAATAAATGTGGGCAGGAGGTCATCGTCATCTTCAACATCCTCAGGATCATGTTCAGATACTTCGCGCACATGCAATACCAATCTACAGCACAGAATGGAGTGCATCACCGTTAGTGGACTAGGTGATCATGAGTTAACTTCAGTTAGATAAGAAGTGTCGCGAGATGAAGACACACGAATCCAAGAGTGACAGGAGGCCAGCCTATAAGCTCACTGATAAATCTCACGAATTAGGATTTGGAGGGAGAAAGAATATACCGGGGCAAGGAGGAAGACAGCCATATTGGCGATCGTGATTGCTGTTCTCGAACGATGATCTTCAGTTCCCAAATTTGCAATGAGTGGACTCACGCAAGATCATAAAATAGTAGAAAAGGCCTGCCATGCGATCATTGACTATGGCTGCTTGTAAGTCTGAAAAATTACCTACCCTCGCAGTAAATCATACTAACAACTTGTCCAAGGTGGAATTCGTTAGCTACACAACTTTTTCATTATTATTTATGCGTCAATACATGCAATATTGGCACTCACATAAATCCAAAGTTTTCCAAGCGGTGAGCAGTGTTAAGACTTGAAGAAGAAGCATAGTCATCAACATGCGTACCCGGTCAGGTAACCGGAAAGAGTAAATTTCTCACCACATTCACCGCCCAGCAGAGCGGAATAACATACTAATACCACATTTGACTCCTTGGATGCGAAACAAGACGATTTTCCAGTGAATTCGCCCACTTTTGATAATGAGATAGATGCGTTGTTCATCTATCGAATGACACTCACTAGGAGTTGTATTTGTAAAACGAATGATAGCCCAAACACATACAACAGAGATGACCTGCATGACAGTTTAGTAGAAGGAGTCTAGAATCAGAATGACTGAAACCGACCGTCCACGACAGACAAAAGATAGCTAAAACTGTTCGAGATTTATTATAAATTGAATATGCTCTGAGCATTAGAATGACTAGAAAAGAAGAGTTTGTTGTGCTCAGCGGTTAACAGAAAAGATCTCCTCACGGTCAGAGATGCCAATGATAACCCCAGCAAAGACTAGGCAGCATGTAAAGGCCAACGTAAATCACAAGTTCAGCAAAGCATACTTGTCGTGAAGGCCATCCGACTCGGATTGCATATCTGCCGGAGATGGTAAAGTATAGCATCCAAGATATACGTGGATGACTTACGGAAGAGATCCTCTCTATGACATTTCGCACAAGGACAATTAGGCGTCCAACGCGTCGATGATTAGAGTTTGTACACACCCTGTGCTGCTATAGCCATCACTATAAATGGAGCATATCTCGTATAAAGATACAGTACTTTGACTACGCTCCATCTCGAACGCCAGACACGAATCACCTATGCACCGGTGAAAAGATAATCAGACACAATAGCAATACCACCGTGCGATTCACTAGTGCATTACCTCCCGGGCCAGGGATATGGACCAGTCATAGACCGATCAAATTGATATGTTAGCTTCATCAATAAGCTCATTGTATTTCTGATTGAATCTGCTTGGTGCAGTACGAGTGAGTGCGGATGACCCACTAGAAGAGTAAGAAATGACACTGCAAAGAAGATAGAAAAGGTTGTTGTTTAATACGATACTCTTCCTCCAGAAAAGCAACCAAAAAAATCGGGATGGACTCACCAGTGACATACTGCCAAAATCAACAATCACAATCACGACAACAGAATTCAGAAGTCATTAGAACGGCACTAATCAGATTTAGAACAAAACTTTCGAAACACGGTAACATACAGTGACAATTTGAAGCTTTTCAAGCTCGGAAGGACTTAGTTCCATGCTACAAGTTCTCAGTTCAAGAATCAGGATATCGGTGATAGCGTATGTATGAGGGCCTCTGCCAAAGGAACGGAATGAAGGTGATGAAGGAAGGGAAGAAGAGACGGGGAAGATAATGGCTGGCTATATGTAGATCCAGTCAGGTCCTTGATTCTCTGGGTCCGAGACTCTCTCGCCCACGCTTTCACCGAGTGCTGGGTGTAATGATGGGCAGGTGCTTCTGTTATTTGGATGAGACACATTCCATTTGTTGCCAACGAAGGATGATGATGGTAATGATGGATTTCATATCAAGTCAGTCGACACTGGAAAGGACGGCATACCGCATACTTACAGGGACTATGTAGATATCAGAAATCTAGATGCAGAATAAGAAGTCAGCTGGAGGCAGGACCTCGAGCTTCAAGTCTTAGCGTTCAACGCTCAGCTTCAGAGACAGCCTTGGTCTTTGTTTATAGGTGATACGATGGCTGCGCAGGGTAGTGTGATGCATGGAGTGATTACAACTGCACTCATTCCGAGATAGTATATAAGCCTCAGTTAGGACAGCGTGCCGGTAATCCGTCGTGGTCTTCCGGACGTCAATCGTTACTGCATTGTTCCTGTCGAGACCAACGCCGAAGAAGTGAGATTAGAGAAGATCTTACCAGTGACAATTACAATGTGAATGAGTACTACGGTGAGCACAGCGATTGAATCCGCAACCGAAAGTAATGATGTTGATTGAACATCTAAAAAGGTGTGAATGACCGTGAGCAGAGGCCTGCTAAGAAGCGCGAAGCAGGAGTAAACAAGAAACATAATAGCGGACCAACGTCAAATTCTTGGACAGTCTTGAACGCAATCATCCCTTCTCAATCAAGGTTTGAACACAGTACAAGTGTGAATTATATTTTGATGGTAATGATTAGATTGTGAACAGAAGGATTATCTCGTCCATTCGGCTTCTAATGTTTACACAATCGCCCATGGTAGGGTGTGGTCGACGTAACATTGAGAGAGCATTTAAGCAACGAAGGCCTTGCCCTTCTCAATGTTCTTCTTAAGCTCAGGCAAGCATGCCTCGAGAAGCTTCTCTTCCTCAGCAGAGAGATGACCAATAGGGTGAATTTTTTCAACACCATTAACCTAGAGAAATAAAGGTTGTTAAAACTTGAGAGGGTGTGGAAGCATCACAAGACGTACACCAAGTTCAACAGGGGAAGAGAAGAAATCAATGCCCTTGTCAGCAAAGAGAGGACTCTTCACAAAGGTAGGTGTAATGACACCCTTTTCTCCGTTAAGACCTCGGAGAAGCGAGTTGGTGAACTTGGCACCAGCATATGCCATAGATAGAGTTGCTGAGCCTGCACCATCCTTGGCTTTCACGACCTCGTCACCACCGAATTGAATCCTATGAATGAGCTTGTCATAGGATTCGCCCTGAAGTCCCTTACCCTTCGAAACTTGCGAGAGCAGAGGAACAATGGTAGGACCAGAGTGACCTCCTACCACAGGAACATCACATTCTGAGGGAGTGGTACCGGAGACCGAAGCGAGGAAACGTGAAGCACGGACGACGTCGAGGGTGGTAACACCGAACAGGCGAGCAGGATCGAAAACACCAGCTTTTTCAAGCGTAGCAGCTACGATTGGTACAGTAGAGTTGACGGGGTTAGAAATTACGAGGATGTGAGCGGTAGGGGCAACACGACCGACGGCGGCAGCGAGGTCACGAACGATGGATGCATTGGTCTACAGAATCTATTGGGCATTGTGATCGTCTGAGTAGTGATACCACTCACATTGAAGAGATCATCGCGGGTCATCTTTGACGCACATTTAGAACGGGATTCTTAGAAATGATGCAGACGGAAGCACTTACCCCAGGCTAAGAGAAGTTTTAGTAGTGGTTTGAGATAGTAAAAGACTAGGCTGACCTTTCTTGGGACACCAGCAGGAATAACGACGACCTTGGTACCTTCAAGAGCATCGTCCAAGTTTTCCATAGCATACCCATTAACCTGACAAGGTCATTAGATGTTGTAGTGTGAATACTGATTGAGAAAAAAGTACCTCACTGTGAGTGTCGACATGGCTAACGTCTGCAGCGACACCAGGAGCTCCACGGATATCGTACAGGCTCAAATTCGACACTAATGGATCCAACTTCAAAAGCAGAGACAGAGGCTGGCCAATTCCTCCACCGGCACCGAGCACGGTAACTTTAGTCTGACGCGCAGACGATGAGGAAAAGAGACGGGCGGAAGGAGCTGTCAAAGCTCGGGCGGTGTTACGTGCAAACATTTTTGGTCGTCGTGGTCGTGGTTTAAGGTCAAGGAATACGGGCAAAAGCGGAAGTGCAGGAAAGGAAAGGTTCCCGGACCGAGGCTTTCCCACTCACTTTCAATTCCGAAAGTCCGTCCGTTCCGTCTTTTCAACCAACCACCTCACATTGGTCGCCCGGAGAACCTTGTGTGCTGTTCGTAGTCGGTGGGAGAACGTGGAATTTCGATGTAAGTGTAAGCCCGTTCTTTACCGTGTGAGGGAGGTGATGAATTGAGATTAACTTTCATAGAGATATCATAACATAACTCTCATAGAATGCAATTGTGGTTTAACAGAAGCATCTCAGGCCGACTAGCTCAGTTGGTTAGAGCGTCGTGCTAATACCAATGTTAACGCGAAGGTCTTGGGTTCGATCCCCACGTTGGCCATGATACTTTTTGCATTCCGTTTTGGTGCAATTGCTTCGGCTCAAGTGTGTGGCGATTTCTAAGCGCAACTACAGATTCACCGAAGAACAAGGCAAGAACTGAGAACCTATCATGTGTCAAAACTCCCATGTAGCCGAGAATTCTCTGAATCCTGAGACGGTGTCAGCTTGTGTCCCACAGGATTCCATTTCTCGCACTGCGTACGCTCTGGCAAGCCAGCATCTCCCCCCAGCAATCTTGAACCACTGTCTGCGTGTCTGGGTCTACGCTCGAGCATTAGGCGAGCATGAAGGGCTCTCTTCGTCCCGCTTTCCTCTCCTTTTCGCCGCCTGCATACTCCATGACATAGGCGCTACTCCTGCCTTTGCCAAACTTGACTCGGAGGAACTTCAGCGGTTCGAGATCGAGGGTGCAGACGCAGCGGCATCTCTCTTGCGAGCAGCTGGAGATCCTTCCATCTCACACGACGATATCGAAGAAGTCTGGCGCGCGATAGCTCTGCATTCCACTCCCCAAATTGCTGAGCGAATGGGTGGCCTGGTTCGCATTGTTCGGCTTGCCGTTTTGAGTGATTTTCAGAGAGGTGTTGTTGCTGAAAAGGAAGGGTTGCAAGCAGAAACTGAAGCTCAATTTGAAAGATTGGATATTGAGAGGGTCCTTGCGGACGCTGTTATCCAGCAGGCGCTGTGCAGTCGAATGCCAGCGGGGAAAGCTCCCGCTGCAAGTTGGCCTAATGATTTGTTGAGAGCTTATCGAAGCAATCCAAAAGGGAAAGGAGTAAACGAAGGCTTCTAGAGAGAAAGTCCAAATGTCGTGTAATGATCTCAGGCGAATTATGAATCTCGAAATAGTTCATAGAGGCAGTTCTTGAGATCATCAGCATAAAGCATTGCATTGTAAATTTCAATGGGATAAGATAGAAAACCGCACTTGTAGACTAAAGTTCAAAATCCGTGATCATAAAAGTTCCATGTTTCCATCCAGATGTCCAGTGACACCTTTCTCAAGATCAAATTCGGAATCCGTTCCTTCCCCTTCCCCAGCAGCTCCTCCTAATCCAAGCCCGAATATTGGACGACGGAGAGGTTGTCGTCTACTGGATGCATCTGGAGTGCCCTTCTTTACAAGAACACGGCGGTCCCGTTCTCTCCCTCGTATCACATCAGCCACTACGTCTACTGTATGAGACCGGCGACCGTGATCTGGCGTTCGTTGGCGGTCCTTGGCATGTTGCGTGCGGAGCTCTTGTATCCGCTCAATCGCCGTTGTCCCATGAGTATCGTGCGGACGATGAGTACCTTCCCTACTCCGAGTCTGGGATTCAATATACACCCGTGTCCTTTCGCCGCGACCAGCGTTATTCGAGCCATAGCTTTGCAGCGTGCGCACTATTAGAAAGAAATATAGCATCCCGAGGAAGAAAACGAATGTGATGGCGATCCGAGGACCTAGTGCAGCTCGGTCACTAAGAGGAGCACGGTCATGTGGATCAGATTCTGCACCGGTTCGCCAGACAAACGATAAGATTGAGACGATGAAGAGGATCATCGACCATGACATCCACACTGCAGGCATTCCCAGTAGGACCCAGACATTCCACCAGAGCAGCGTCTTCGTTTTCTGCGCTTCCTGTCATCGGAAAGAGTGTTCATGAATGAACTTGTGATTGGATATTGGAAACGAACATACTTCGGCCCAGATAGAAGCACGATACATGCTCCTCATCGTCCCAAACCGTACAATATAGATACATCCGTATGAAAGACTCATGATAGCACACACTAGAGAGAGTAAAGCAGCGGATCTAGTAAGGGGATCTGTCGCAGCGTCCTCGATTTGAAACATGGTTAAAATAGCACTGAAATATTGTACTGGTCAATCATTGTCAAGGAAAAGACTTGCAGGTCACGTACGATAATAACAAAGCTGAGACAACATTTAAAGTCTTCCACTCTCTCATCAAGGAATCAATAAAGGTCTCCCAAGAAAGCTTGAAGCGAATAAGGGAAGGGGATACTAAAGGTGATTTCCAATCTTCTGGCAATGGTAGCGGAAGGTCCACTACGGATGCGACTGCTGCTGCTGCCAAATTTGTGGCAGATGTCGGCCCCAAGCCCGTCCCGGTGGGGCTTAGAGTATTATTCGGGAGTCGCACCTTCTGGCTCGTTCCTGCGTTAGCAGCATCCGTGTTTGTAGCAGGCACGTTCAAGGGATTTGTTTGAGTATTGGTGAGTCCTGGTCCTAGCGAGTTCGCGTTCATCTGGCTTTGTGAGAAATGGCTCCCGCCCCTTCCGCAAGCGTCAATCATGCGTTGAATATCTGGCTTGCTGACCTCTGCATCTTCGAATATTCGCGCGACACGCGAAAAATACATCCAGGGAATGCGCAACAGCAGGTGCAGATATATCACCCGCGGAAGAGTGTCTAGGAAGAAGATATGAATCGTATGCATGTCCATGGAATGGACGTGGTCAGATTTATGGACATGTGCAGCAAATGCGATACCATTCCCTTCTGCGTGAGGATCAATCGAATGATGAGCGGCGGAAGTATTATGGGAATGGGTGTTGGCTTTCATAGGAAGACTTTCTGTGTTGTTGACCTTACTAGGCAGACGCTTCCGAATCCACATCGGCAAACGAAACCTAGGAGATCCCGACGACCGCAGACTGAAAAGGAAGTGGGACTGGAAAGGATCAACAGGAATAAAAGGTTCTTCATGGTGAGAGGTGTGTGGTCGATGATGGATTCCTTGGGACCATTGCTGGAGTATCCTCAGAGGCGATGCCGCTCTAGAGCGCGAATGCGATGGAGATCGGGAGCCAGCATCGAGATTGTCGGATTTAATGGTATAGTCGCCGGGTACAGCATAAGAAGATGCAGTAGGATCACTGCCACGGCGAAGTCGATGCAGGACTGGTAGAGGGGTCAATGTATAATTAGAGAACGGATTCATCAATCAAATTGACCTTGTCGAACACTTTGCATTGTCGGTAACGATGTCCTGTCACTTTCCATCGATGCCCTACGGGAAGTCTCGTGGTCAAGAGATCCCTCAGACGCGCTCACCCGAGGTCTCCTTGTCTCCTTACCCGACATTCCTTTGTCAACATCAGGAAGCGCTGGGCTAAATCCAGCAAATGAATCCATATTAGTCCCAGATTGTGATATGCTCGGCCAAGACCTGGACGCATCAAGACTATGTCTAAATATTCGAGGCGATTGGCCCTGACTGTTCATCATAGGAGATCGGGCTCCGCGATTGGGGTTTGGACTTGCCATTGATGGAGGCAACGCAGAGAGCTTGTCAGAGTACGTCAGTGTAGAAGTAGCGTTCGAGTCTACGGGTAAAGTTACTACGAGGATTCTCAAGCGATATTCTCGTGATGAGAGCTTACCAGGGGAGGTCGACGGAGGACTTCCTTCTTCACGAAGTGTAGGAAATAGCATAGAAGAAGGCCCTGCGACTACCTGTACAGCAACAACGTCGGTTTCGATGGTCCCCTCTGCGACATCAGTCTGAGGAGGCTGTTTAGAAGCCATTATGAGATGGAGTTCTGAACGGTTTCTTGAAGGTAGCGTTGGTAGCCTTGATGCAAATTCTCTTGATATAGGACACGTATTTGCTGTGTGCTCCTTCTGCTGCTCTAGATGCCATAAAGATTATACTAGTAGGTAGAGACGCTGACGCCAAATGAGCAGAGAATGCTACTCCGTCACTGCATTCAGCTGCACATGAAGTATGTAGGAGAACGCCAAAAAAGGAACATATGTCAATAGACACACCTATTCGCGTGACGCAATACCCATGGGCACGTGCAGAAACTCACATTGCAACTTTTAGTACATGCATTCAAGTAGAGGTACATTTTCTACTGCCAGCCATCGTGAATGCTATCCAAGAGTATTTGACTAGCACTCCTGCGCCGTAACTGGTAAAACCCACCTATAATTCTCTTTCACGATAACATTCCACGATGTATCGACGAGTTGCCGATTTGTCCACCGCTAGCTAAGGGTTGAGCACCACAAATGGCAAGGACCAAACTTCAACGCAGATAGCGGCCGACCCAAGGCGATTACATTTAGTTTTGCACGTTTGGGTCTCTCTGACTATATATCGCTTTCAGTGTTCGAAAATCCCCTCCCTACGACTCCTTGCAGCTGATGTTTCCTCGTCTCCGTCTCTCGTCGCTCAATCCCTCTTTCACGAAGAACCTCACCACGACCACAACTAGTCGACTACCATCTCGTCGACTCTCCAATATGCTAGAACCACAGTCTCTCATGAGTCATGATGGATCTGGAGAGCGGACTATTTAAACTATACTACCGGGTTTCCTGTACGTCTCCTGCATCTTGTCTCGTCTTTGTCCAACTCGTAATGCGACGTACTCAGTGCCAATGATGCCCGTCACCTCCAAGAGCGCAGGCGCGTCTTCAACATCCCCGGACTCTTCAACACTATTGCTAAGGCAATGAACTGCGAGACTGCACAGATCGTCGACTTTCGGAAGCTCGCAGAGGGTGGCTTCAACCGCATCTTTCCCATTACCCTGGGCACCGAATTCCAACTCGTTGCGCGCATCCCGTATCTCCTCCTTGTTCCCAAGGCGTACGCGGTCGCCAGTGAAGTCGCTACTATGGACTTCCTTCGTTCCACGGGGCTCCCTATTCCCAAGGTCTACGCGTATTCCTCTACATCAAACAACGGACGTAATACATTCTAATGGAATACGTGAAAGGCACCAACTTGAGTCAGATATGGTCTGAGCTAAAGGAGGATGAAATTATCTCGCTGATGGACCAGCTCGCGAAGGTCGAGTCCACTATGATGTCCATCTCTTTTCCCGCTGGCGGGAGCATTTACTACGCCAGAGACCTGAAGGAGCTATCGGGAAACGAGGGCATCCCACTCGACAACCAGGTTGAGAATATCGCGTTCGAGAAGGAGCGATACTGTATAGGCCCTGATGTATCGGTACCGCTGTGGTATGGGC